ATCCTTGTAATTAAAAATAGTACAGAACCGAAATATGCTGTAATCAAGTAGCCCCTATCTATGTTACGAACTGTCCAAACGGTATCTTCGTATCTTTCACGGATGAGGAGATAAAAGGGGTATTATGACTTAATTGGTTCACCCTGTATATGGAGGAGTCCCACTATGGGTCCCCTAATCTGGTTCTATGCTTGCGAATTTGATTTGGAATACATGGAATTATTTTAGATTCTGGTTCTATGGATTGGGTTTTTTGTCAGTCTGAATTCGGATTTGCTGGGATTTGATGAATGTTATGATAGAAATTTGTGGCAAGGTATATATTGTAATGATCTAATGGTTCTATTTTGAATTCCTTGTGAAGCTGATTATTCGAAATGAACTATGGAGCGTTAGTAATGGTTCTTAGAAATTGGTTTTGAATGATTTGGAGTTTGCGGATATTTGTATTGGCGGTATTTATCCATATTGGACAGGCGTAAGTAATTGTGGGTCTTATATGGTTTTATATATTGCTATGGCAGTATTGTATCGAATTGAACTTTGTGTTTTTATTAACAGTTTTAACTGATGCAGTTTTGCCTTGGTTTGTAATATCTATGATTCAATGTGGTCGCGCCAGTTTAATTTTGTCGCGCCAGTTTAATTTTGAACTTCGCGTCCCAGTTATCAAGTTTGTGCAGGTGTAATTGTGTTTTGGATGTTGGGTCATCTAGTGAGTTGCCAGAGATATACAGTGCTGTGTCGTCCGCGAATTGTGTTTATGTATCATTTTTGATTTGGGGAGTTGAGCTACATAAAGATTAAACAGGTTTGGTGATAATGGTGATCCTTGAGGTTGTTCTGCTTAGTGAAACAGGGTAAAGAAATTTACCCAAATGTCATATCATTCTGAAGTCTGTAGTAAATTGTGTACGATTTTATGTAAACATCGAATGTCTCCATGTCTTTTCATTACATACGAAACTGAATTCACAATTTTGATAGTTTATATCTTTAATCGAAATATAAAAAATAAAAACTTGAACTTCCACAAAAAAGAAAAACTGACTTAACATGCTAGTTAATACATTTTATTACCATTAAAAAATTGTGAAAGGGTTTCAAGACAGATCCACTGAATTACTAACACATATTATTCCTATTTATTTTCACACCCTGAATGGATTTGCAGAGTGCAGTAAGTACGGGGAAGCAGTGTTTCGCCACGAGATTTCCCCTCTCGCAAGTCACCCGGTGAAGTTGGACCAATGCGCGTTGAATCGGCTGTCCTTCATCCCACAGCACGAAATCGCCCAAGCGAACGAATTTCCTCATGTGGTGAGTACGCA